CATTCTCTGCTCTCATCTCCTTTCCAAAGCCTGTCCCATCTTCTTAACAGCTGTGTAATGTACACCAAAATTATTTCCAAGTTGATGCTTACATAATAATAATCAATTTCCCATTCACGTCTCCATGTTCATTAAATATTATGAGAAGTTAAGAGCCATACTTTTATGATCACTTGAATTTTGTGATGCAGCATGATTTTGAAGAACTAGCAGCTAAAAGTTTGAACAACTGCAAATCTAATAGTATTCTTTCACCCTACTAAGCAATTGACTGGCTTAGGGACTATTTCACCTCTCTTACCACTCTTAAGTTTTTGTGAATGTGTATCTTTTAAAATCATGCCCTATATTATACTATCGTTACTTCTTCTTTTTCTCCTCCCACTGTTAAAATTTAATTCTTACAAAATACCATGACTGGCAAGAAAACAGTGAGATTGGCATTCTTACTGCTCACTCTTTCTAGGCATATGTATAAAGAGATTTAGAAATATTCACCTCCTTACGCTTCAGTTTTAGAGTCTAGACTAAGGAAAATATATAGCGGTGTATGTACTAATATCTCTGGGTAGTGGAAATTATGGCAGCTTTTCCTGATTTTCATTTAAAAAAAATTTCTCCCACATTTCATTAATGCTCACCTTAGTGGGTTGGGGTGGGACTATACATTTTCCTACTATTATTTTCCTCATTCTCCATTTCTTTATCATTGCTTAATTTCTCAGCATAACAAAATGATATGGTACCATCAAAGAAGAGGCTAAAATTTTCAAAGCAAAATATTTGGTCCATAGTAGGAATTCAGTGTATAGAATCAGTTTATTACTTTCTTTTTTCCCCTTCAGTTTATTACTTTCTTTTTTCCCCTTCAGTTTATTACTTTCAAGAAGTTTCATCTATATATGAAAGCAGATTCGTACTCTAAGTCAATAATGTATCTCTTAAAAATCAGGGAAACACCTGAAGAATATGAGAAATTTGAGGGGAGGCTTTCAGAAAGTGGATGGGTTTTAAATAACAAATCTAATCTTATAGTTCCCGTTTATATGAAACTATTAACTAGGTCTTTGAATGAATCTTTTTATTGATATTCATTTCAAATATTTCTTACTAACTTTTAAGATTTGATAAGCATCAAATCAGTTGCTCTAATAACTTGGAGGTGATTGAAATATATATCCTGCACCCCGGGAAATAACCTTAGTTTTCATGGTACTAGGTGTGTGATATTCAAATGAAGTTTTATGATTTCTGCTCAATATACTTGTGTTGTTAAGGTGAATATAATAGTTAGGAGTAGTTCTAGCTTTAAAAGTATTATGAGAGGATGTCAGAATGTTTTGCGTAGAAGTGAGAAATTATATTCTTGTGCAGCTAACAAGTATCCAGTGTATATTTTTCCAAGAGTTTATGTTGGATTCTGTATATCGTGAGCCGAGATTTAGTACCTGTCATTGACTAAGCACTAAGTAATAATAGCATTGAATTTTTGGACATTTCATACTCATTATTGAAACCTCAGGATAATAAAATACGATATACTGTATAACTCGTGTATAAGGCAAGTTTTTCAGCACATTAAAAAAAATAATTTTATTGGGGGCTCATACATCTCTTATCACAATCCATACATCCATCCATTGTATGTCAAGCACATTTGTATATTTGTTTCCCTCATCATTCTCAAAACATTTGCTTTCTA